TCTCGTATGTCCTCTCGCTCCCGGTCCTACATGCCCTCTAACCAGCGAGCGATCCCTACCACCTGCTGAAACGAAACATCTGACTCCAACTCCCGAGCCATGCTGAACGGAATATCATGCCTGAGCCCCTTAATGAATCTACGAACTCACTCTCTAACTGTAGCAACCAAGGCAGGTGCATGTCTAGCCAAATCACTGAATCTGATGGCATACTCTAGTACTGACATAGTGCCCTGGTGCAACTGCTCAAACTCCGCGCGCCATGCATCTCGAAGGGACTGATGTACAAACTCTCTCCGAAAACATCTCTGAGAACTGAACCCATGTAAGTGAAGCTGTATCGGCCGGGCTACCCAACTCATATGCCCTCCACCACTGATAAGCCGCTCCCTTAAGCTGGAACGTAGTAAAAGCAACCCCATTCGTCTCAACAATACCCATAGTGCGGAAAATGCGATGGTAGTCCTCTATAAAACCCCATGCACTTTCTGAAGCCAAACCACTGAATGTAGGAGGGTCATATTTCTCGAACCTTGCATATCTATGTAGCCCATCCTCAAATGCTGCTGCCATGAGCATGGGCTGAACTGGAACCACAGGCTGTGTCACCATGACACCTGGAACCTGACCAACGTGAACTTGCTGCTCTGGAGTGTGGGCAGCGGGAGTCTGAGTCCCTCCCCCGGTCTGTGAAGTAGCTGGTGCAACCGGAATCAATCCCGCCTGAGCCAATGTACCAAACATGCTCAGGAACTGTGCTAAAGTCTCCTGAAGTCCGGGGGTAACAACAGGCGCCTCCGGAACCTACCCCCCAACTAGAGCTACTGGCGGCTCCTCAACTACTGCCCTGGTAGGTGCTCTAGCTGCGGTACGCACTCCTCATCGGCCTCTGCCTCTCCTCCAGCGACACCTGCTCCGGGAGCAGCTCCAACGATAACTGCAGCTCGTGTCCTCACCATCGGTGAGAGAATGGATTGATAAAAGTTCAAACATCCGAGATCAATAAGCTCGCACGACAGGAACGAAAGAAGTGAGATTGTCCTAATAGTTCCGTAGCCTCTCGAACATAAGTACAAACATCTCCGTACCGATCCACAAGACTCCACTAAACTCGCTTATGACTCGTAGCACCTATGAACCTAGAGCTCAGATACCAACATGTCACCACCCAACTTTTCCACCATTTGGGTATCGTGATGGCACCTAGTCTTATGGACTAGGTAAGCCTAACTTGTACTGAAATACAACAATAATAAATGAAATTTAACAGTCTCGAAGCAGAAATCTCTACAAAATTTGTAATTTCCAAAATTCGGTAGTACAAGTCATAAGCTCTACAGAGTTCGCTACAACTTTTAAGTACAACTATTTGGAATAAATACAACAGTGTGAATACAAAATCGGAAGGTGACTCCGAAGCCTGCGAACGCAGCAACATGGTTACCTTGAGTCTTCTCGGCAAGAATCCGCATAGCTACTAACGTTCAATACCTGGATCTGTACAAAAAGAAATATACAAAAGTGTAGTATGAGCACACCACAACGGTGCCCAGTAAGTATCAAGACTAACCTCGGTGGAGTAGTGACGAGGAACAGTCAAGACACCTACTGGTCTAATAAACTGAACAAGTATAAGTATAGGAACAACAGAACATCATATCTATATAAAGACTACACGATATGGCTAACAATACAGTAATTGCAATAAGGAAGGAAATATCAAATAACAGCGGAACACCATAATAAGGACACAAAAGAGTGAATCGAAACACAACCCAAATCGGAAATCACAACTACAGTAAAGACAAGTAATAACTCAACAACTACGGCAGTTTTCACATCCGGTCTTATCCAACAAACTCAACGAAGTACCGAACCTCGGACAAATTACAACTCACGGGTCTCAATACCTAAACCCTAACACTTGGCATCCTATGCCCTCGTCACATCTCATAACCATGCTGACATCTCCCGTGCCAAACAGAGCCTCTCTCACATAGACGACAAGTAAACAAGGGAGTACATCTATACTCAACAATATCAAAAAAACTTCTTATCTGGTAAGAGTGTTTAACTACGTGTATGCTTGTGCAAGTGTCCTAACATAGTTCATACCAGCTAGTAAGCATAAGGAAAAGAATAGAATCAATGAAAGACAACAGCTCAGAACACAGTGATAACAACATGGGATCTCCCAGGATACCGTCTCGTAGTCCCAAACGTAAATGTGCAGGGGGATCTCCCGGAATACCGTTCCGTAGTCCCAAAGTAAATAACAGTGCTGGGGGATCTCTCGGAATACTGTTCCGTAGTCCCAAAGTAAATATGCAGTACAGGGGGATCTCCCGAAATACCGTTTCGTAGTCCCAAAGTAAATATGCAGAACAGGGTGATCTCCCGGAATACTGTTCCGTAGTCCCAAAGTAAATATGTAGCACAACCAACAGAGATAACAGTTACAGCACGATAGAGACCTCGTGCATCACCACAACAAGTACAACAACAACAATGACAATAATACAAGGTCCGACAAGTAAATCAATTCACGAACTTAAAATCAGAAAGAAACGTTAGAATGCATTCACAAGGATTAACCCACAGTAAGGAATGCTAGCCGTAGAGAGAACAACTCAACAAGGAAGGAAATAATATTGCCATTCCACCATGTACCGTTCGGCAACAAGGAAAACTAACACGAGTCAAATAGTTTCAAATAAGGGCAAGTCAACTAAAACATGGGATATCTAGACTTCTGTTAAGGTTGGGCAATTACGAAGAATATTCAGCAATTCGATTAAAGATAGACAACGGAAAGATAACCATAACCTCAATTAAGACCAACAATTATAGGATGAGATGATGATAATTTCAAATAAAGAAAGCAGTGTGAAAAGATAGCATGACATTAGGAGAGGTAAAATCTTCAGTCAAGTCAAATAAGAGTCAAATAGGCAATAATAGTGAATCCTAAAGCAATTAATTCTAACTTAATCATGTAGGGGTGAAACTAGTAAATAAGAACTCAGTCATATCAAGAACAACTTCATACACAGTGAATATAAGGACCAAAGAACCCTAAAAGGCTAGCGTTCCACAAATAAGTCCGAGCACGCACCCGTCACCTCGCGTACACGAACTACAATCAACATAGAAGACTCAAATCCTAAGGGGGAAATCCCTCACACAAAGTTAGGCAAGATACTTACCTCAAAGAAGACAAATCGATACTCTAAAATAAACTTCTCGGGTGAAATGACCTCTGGACGGCTCAAATCTAACCAAAATAACTTCAAATCACAAATAAAACTCATAAGAAACTATTCCGGATCATAAAGTCTCAATCTTTAACAAAATCCAAAAATCGGTCCAAAAGTCGACCCCCGGGCCCGCACCTCGGAACCCGACAAATTTTACAAAAATCGAATACCCATTTTGATACGAGTTTAATCATACAAAAATTATCAAATTTCGATACCATTTGGTCCTTCAAATCATGATTCTTCATTTTAAAATTTTCTTCAAACACCTCTATTTTTCTCAACTCAAAATACAAATTAAATGATAAAAATGAAGACAAAATCATGGAATATATTAAATACTAGGTGAAGAACACTTAGTTGATCGATTTGCTTGAAAAAACCACAAACAATCGCTCTAAACCTGAGCTCTACAAGTCAAAATATGATAAAAATGGCCTAACCCTCGATTTGGAAAACTTATATTCTGCCCAGGTGACTATGTATCGCGAACACGGAGCAAGGCTCGCGTTCGAGAAGAAGAAAAATGAGGCTGCCAAGAAATGCCCATCGCGAACGCGAGCTAAGGGGCGCGAACGTGAAGATTAAGAACCAGAAGCTTTCGCGAACACGGGGTGACTGATGCGAACGCGAAGAAGAAATAGCCACCAACCCCCAGCTCCTAATTTCTACTATGCGAACGCGAAGGAGGGGTTGCGAACGCAAAGAAGGGAAAAAGGCAAACCTTCGCGAACGCGAGAGGTTGATCGCGAAGGCGAAGAAGAAATAATTCACCTTCCAAAGTAACACTACGCGATCGCAAAGGCAAGGACGCAAACGCGATGAAGGAAACCAGATGACGATTCAGTAGTTCAAAAGAGGAGGAAATGACCCGTAGCCCACCCGGAACACACCCAAGGCTCCTGGGACCCCGTCTAAACACACAAACAAGTTCTATAACTTAACACAGACTCGCTCGGGGTCTCAAATCACATCAAACAAAGCCGGAAATGCAAGTCGCGCCATGAATCGAACTATGAACTTTCAAATCTTCCAACTTCGAAAACTCGTACCGAAACCAATCAAACCAACCCGGAATAACGCCAAATTTTGCAGACAAGTCCCAAATGACATAACGGAGTTGTTCCAACTCTCGCAATCGCATTCCGACCCCAATATCACAAAAGTCAACTATGGGTCTAACTTCTCCATTCTTCAAACTTCAATTTTTTCAACTTTCGCCGAAATGCCTCAATTCTAAATCCGAATCCGAACGCACGCCTAAGTCCAAAATCACCATACGAAGCTACTGACATCATCTAAAACTCATTCTGGAGCCGTTTACACTAAAGTCAAATTCCGGTCAAAATTCTCACCGCTTAAGCTTCCAAAACTAGATTCTTTCTTCCAATCCGACTCTGTATCATCCGGTAACTGAATTCAACCACGCACGCAAGTTGATACACATAATATGAAGCTGCTCAAGACCTTATGCCGGTGAACGGGACTTAAATTCTCAAAACGACCGGCCGGGTCGTTACAAAAGGAGTCAAGATTCACTTTAAGGGAACTGAAGTTAAACAAGAAAGAACAATTTCTATGAAAAGATAAAAAGCCTTGTATTCATTCTATCAAAGCAATGAGATTCTTATTATTACTAAACGTACAATGATGTAGTTCATGCAAGAATTAGTCTAAGTCATAAAAAAAATCAATCTAATTCAGTAGCACCTTAATTAATTAGAGCTTCGCCCATTTCTGGCCTTAATCTAAAGCAGCTCCAAGTGCAAATATTTCATAATCTTGAGGACTGAAAATATTACAACCATTGCACCCACAGTAACCCTTGCAAGCACATGACTCATCCCATGATCTATTATTTTTCTTGACTTTGGTTGTCTCTTTTACTTTAACCTTCATTGCTATTTTCACTGCTGGAGGTTTCACATCTTCATTATTCACCCGCTTATTACTTTTAGAAGTAGCCATGAATATTGCCCATTCCTCTATCTCCATTTCTCTCGACTCAAATACTCTTTTCCATGGAATTTCAGCTCTCCCCAACAGTTGTGATCCACTAATATTTTTCCCAAAAACTGGAAAATACTTTCTTGACCGAAGCTCGAAAACAACTGTTCCTTGCTTCAATATGTTAATGGAGTCTTGAGTTCCCATGCAATCCAATGAGAAAGAGTCATCCCAAAACAAGTTACTATCACATTTTGATGATGATGAGATTTCTTGGCTGTTTAGCTGAACTCTTTGGTTATTTCCTGCTGGAAGATAGCATCTAACAAACAAGTTGCTTTTTCCTAAAGAGCTTTGCTCTATGTTTCTTCCTCTTATGATTTGTATTTCACAACTAATAGTTTGAGTATTCTCCATTGAAAGAACACTAGTGGTTTTTCTTTGATAGGGTTGTCTTGTTTTCTTTGAGAGATGGTTAATTTGTTTTGGTGATGGGAAGCAATTAGTTAGTGGGGGTATTTATAGTTGGAAATGGAAGGGAATTAAAGTGGTGTAACTTTATTTTATGGAGGAGCAACTAGCTAGCTAGAATATAATTACCCGTAGACTATAAAATAAGAAAAATTAACACGCAATGAGAATTAGTGCTAATCTCGTAAAGGATTTATATGGAGTAGAAGTGAATCCTTTGGGATCACTGAAAGATATTGTCTTTATGAATAATTTCAAGACAAAACTCTTCAGAATCTTGAAAGGTTTAAAAATGTGTGAAACGACTGTTAATATAATTAATTATTGAGGTATAGATCAATGCTTGTGGATGTGGCAAATAGGGGTTTAGTGGGTTTATCTGGAATGTCCAATCAGCTGTTAAAATATGGCATGCACTGCAATTTTAACATATGACTATATCCATAAATTTTACTTTGTGAGAGTTCAAGTGGAATTGATGGACCCTAAATCTTTAGATTATTTATCCCAGCTTAAATTCAAGAAGATAAGATAAATGCGTGTTATGCTTGTGGTAAACCTTTTTATTTGTTTACTATAAAGTTAATTATGTGCGTCCGTAGACATAGAATATAAAATCTTAATGTATGATGATATTCTACCTATATAATAGGGCTTTCAATTTTATTCCATCTTGTTGAAATAATATTATGACAATCATATAAAAGATTGAAAATTATTGTAACTAAGTTGAAACTAAGTCGAAAATTCTAATTAAGCTTAATTAGAACTAATTCATACAACATTGCATGAATCAATGTGCTTGGACGTTATAACCCACAGAAATTAATAGCCTGTTTGGCCAAATTTCTTTCGAGGTAAAAGTATTTTTTTTTTTTATAAATTAAAGTGTTTGGCCGAGCTTTTGAAAGAAAAAAGTGCTTTTGAGGATAAGCGGAAGCAATTTGGAGAACAGAAGAAAGTAGCTTCTCTCTAAAAGCACTTTTGAAAAAAATACACTTAGAAGCAGTTTTTTAAAGCTTGGCCATACACTAATTGCTGCTCATAAGTGCTTTTTAAATGAATTAGCCAAACACAAACTGCTTCTCACCAAAAGTATTTTCGAGAAAAGCAATTTTGAAAAAAACCGCTTCTCAAAATAAGCTGATTTTTGCAGCTTGGCCAAACGGCTATAGATCCCACTCCATGCAGCTGAATGGCTAGTGGAAAGGTAGTCAACTTTTGCGTGGGGCCCATGTTTCTCTTGGCATAATTAAGTACCACCCCTAAAACAAACCCTTAAAATCTATTTGTAAATACAGCAGTCTACCATAAACATGTGTACTTATGAATGGGATATTCATTAAAATACAGAAACAACTAATCTTTGAATCTTTGATAAGATTCTCACTCTTTTAGTTCCAACTCAAAAGCCCTTATATTTATATGCGCACAATCACATAGATAAATATCCATTGGGTTAAGAAGATCAACTAGTTGGCAAGTAGATCTATGATCTTAAATTTAGAATTAAAATAAATAACACAAAAAAGAAATATATGATAGATTAAGAAAAAGCAGATGATGAAGTCATAAAATAAAAGTAATAATACTTGAACTTAAATTTCTGGCCGGGATTCTTGCTTATCAATTTGGATCACTACCTTCCACTATAGAAATCTAGTACTTATAGTATATGGAAAGTGTCCTAAGAGACAACCTTATCTCTTAAGAAAGAAAAAGAAAGAGAGACCAGGCCACTGTCTTGAAATACTTTAAAAGTGAGGGATAAGCCAAATTGTAATTTAACCAACAGTGATGCCCTACCTTATAAAGTTGTAAAAACAAAAATTAAAATGTGGTCTTAATAATGGGATATTGAATAGTGGGCTTTGTAATTTATCTTTCTTATTAGGTAATTATTTCACTTATTGCATGAGGGTACTATGATTTCCATTGTTTTTCAAAAATAACATTTTAATATATATTTGGACTATTTGCCTCTTTTTAAAGTTGGATTTTGTTATAGCAAAATTAAAGAATTAAATAAAGATTTTGGCTTTACAACTTTAGAGCCCTTTGGTTGAAACACACGGGCACAAATTAACACATGTTTAATGACTTGCGAAACTTATGGTAAATGATAGAAATCAAGAGAGGATGTAGAGAGAGAAAGTAGAGAGAGAAAGTCTGGCGAGTGTGAAGCAAGGCAGCTTACAGACGCCATTAACGACCTAGCTCTATTCCTTTACTACAATCCTCAAATAACCTACTGAATTCACTAAGATGACGAGAGTAATTACGCCGGAAAGTGGAATACCACAAAAATTAGAACCGATGCAACTGTTACATTGGCTCCCTGGCATGGGAAGTGCTCCAACGGTAATGCAAGATCCACCAGAAGTAGAGAAGACGTCCATGCAACCGGAGGAAGTGACGATGTACACATCAGCAAGGAAATTGACATATTCAGCTGGATCTCAAAAGCAGACTATGGCGGAAGCAGTAAAAGGGAACAGAACACAATCACAGGGCATGCAATTAAAATTCTATCCACCGATGGTGCAGAATGGCGTGAAAATAGCAAAATTGAACACGAAGGAGATAGATCTGCAAGTCCAAAAAGAAGACAGCTCTAATAGGGTATGTATTGGGTGGAAATCCATCATTTAAAGATATGCTAAAATTTGTTTACGGTGTTTGGAATTTTGTTACAACTCCAACAGTATTAGAGCATGATGATGGTTATTTCATTTTTAAATTCTAATCTATGGAGGATAAAGAGAGGGTTATGTAGCAGGGACCGTATACAGCTAACAATAGGCCTATGATTCTAAAGGACTGGGATCCAAATTTCCAGATCAAAGAAGAATCTATGAGAATTGTACAACTGTGGGTCAATTTTCCAGGTCTGTCTATCCAATGTTGGACTGAGGAAAACCTAGGAAGGATTGCTAGCCTTCTAGGTAAGCCAATTTGTACTGATAGGCTAACTGCGGATTGTGAGAGGGTCTCCTATGCTAGAGTTCTAATTGATATGGACATCACACAGCCTCTACCAGAGGAAGTCCACATTGAGATACCTGGTCAAAAAAGCTGGATTCAAATGGTGGAATTTGAGTGGAAACCAAAATTCTGCCTAGAGTGTAACAACTTTGGGCATGAGAAAGGAAAATGCCAACAGATGGAGGAACAGAAAGAAGAAGTCAAACAGAAAAGAAGAAGAAAGAAGAGGAAAATGATATGGAAGACAAAGGAAGTAAAGGAACAACAAACAGATAATACTGCACAGGAGGAGAAACAGGAGCTAGACAAAGGCAAGCAGAAGATGAACACACAAATTTTGAAGCATAAGGAGATCAATTATGAGGAGCTAGCAAATAGAAACAGGTTTGCACCACTGATGATAAAAGAGAAGCCACCTGAACAGACTATGCATGCAGATACCAGAAATGAAGCAGGACAAAGGAGCCTAAACAGCACTCCTAATGCTTAACCACCATGTTCATCATATCTTGGAATGTGAGGGGACTGAATAAGTCCCACAAGCAGTGAGAAGTGAGGAAATTCTTGCTGAGAAACAAAGTGGATATGATAGCTTGCCTTGAAACAAGAGTCAAAAAGCAGAAGGCAAAGGATGTTCAAAGGAAAATAGGCAATGATTGGAAAATTGAGGACAATTATGAATATGCACCAAATGGGAGGATATGGCTAATGTGGAAGGAAGTCAATGTCAATGTAACAGTACTGGAGAAGACAGAGCAACTGATTCATTGTTATGTGCAAGATAAGAATTCTGTTTTCACTTGTTACATAACATTTGTTTATGGATTGCATACTGTTCAACATAGACAATCACTATGGGGGAAACTAAGAAGTATACAATTGAATGATCCTTGGCTTATAATAGGAGATTTCAATAGTGTACTAAATGTTGATGATAGAATAAATGGTAATCCTGTACAACAATCTGAAGTAGTAGATTTCCAAAATTGTATTGAAGATATAGGAGTAGGGCAGATTACCAAAAGAGGGGGTGACTTCACATGGTGTAACAAAAGAGATGCTGAAGTAAGGATATATAGTCATATAGATTGGGCCTTTGGGAATGCTGAATGGTTCAACCTATACACTGGTATTGAGGCTCAATACATGCTTCCTGGATGTTCAGACCATACTCCAATAATGATAAGTACTGAAGTGCAGAAAATGAAAGTCAACAGACATTACAGACTGTTAACTACTGTAATGAAGCGGACAGAATATAAGGAGATTGTACAAAGAGTATGGGAACAAAGAAGTGGAGGAGATGCTATGTCTACAGTCTGGAGAAAATTGAAGCAGATTGAGAAACAGACCAGAAGTATACAACATGAGCATTCATCAGTGGATAAAAGCTAGACAAGATGAGAGAAGAGTTGAATCAGATTCAAGGAATGTTAAATAAAGATTATTTTAATGCAGAACTGATAGAGGATGAAAGGAAATGTCTAGCAGATATTGAGAAGTGGGAAGCAGTCCAAGAACAAATATTAAAGCAGAAATCAAGAGCTACATAGATCCAACTAGGAGACCAAAATACAAAGTATTTTCATGCCTGTATGCGAGCTAGACAAGCAAGAAACAAAGTGAGCTGCATTTACAATGATACTCAGGTGAAGATCACAGAACCAAAGCTGATTCAATAGGAGTTCATCCAATTCTTCAAACAGTTACTGGGGACAGCAGCAGACCAAATGCCAGGAATTGATCTAACTATAGCAAGAGACGGGCCATGCTTGACAGTGATTCAACAGCAGCAACTAGTAGCTCCAATCACTAATAAGGAGATCGGCCAAGTAGTGAGGAACCTGCCTAATGATAAGGCACCAGACATTGATGGATATCTTGCAGAATTCTTCAAGGAGTACTGGTCAATCATAGGGCAAGAAGTAACAGATGCTGTGCAGAATGTTTTTCAAAAAGGA